GCTGTGTGCTTCCCACCGTTCTATCTTTGTTCACACCCTGGAATGCGCCTCTTGCCAATCTCCCTTGGTTGAAACCCATCTCAACTTTTCCTTCCTCCATGAAGCTCTTCTAATTTTCCTTGGCAAAGTTGTCTTGCCTCCTGGAGCACCTTCTTGGTGGGGCTTTCATTAACAGCACATACTGGCTGTCCCATGGGTGATTATCTGTTACTCATTCTCCAACTGTGCTTCTAGCTTCCTGAGGACATGGGCTCTGTGCTTTGTTCATCTTAGCAGCCCTTGCAGAACTGAGTTAGGCACATCATATGCCCTTGTTAACAGAATAAATGGATGGATGGATAGATAAATCAATGGATGAATGACAGACGGGTTGGTGATGGATGGATAAATGGATGGGTGGGATGTATAGATGAATGTATGCATACATAGATGCATGGATGGATGAACAGAAGGATGAATGGATGGGTGGATGGATGGATGAATGGAGCAACTGTTCTCTAAAAGGACTCACAAAAGGCTATGTAATACCAGGGGCTTCCAGGAAGGGAGCTGCCCCTCCCCCCACCATGCCAGGACACCCAGAGGAGGTCACAGTATCCAGGTTGAGCCTTCCTTTGCTAATATATACATCCTTAGTGACTTGTCTCCCAAAGGTCTTGATATATTCCCACTCCCAAGAAGTCACAGTCTGGGAGTTGCTCCTTCCTTCTTGCTCCCCTGGACCTTCTGGAATGAATGCCTTCATTAACGTATTATTTTGTACTGCCTGCATTATAATGATTCTGTAGGTTTCTTCTTCTGCATCCCTCCCCCCCCACCCCCATCTCACACACGCCCTGGATTTTGAGCTCCCTGAAGATAGGAACCATGTCTGAATCTCTTGTATATCCCTGGGGCCTGGCATACATGTTTATTGGGTAAGTGAACAAATGGATAACTGAGAGAATGCTGACTCTTTTTCCACAGATGCACTTTGCACACTTCCCATGGATTCATGTTCAGCCATCTCTCCTGGTCCTCCCCTCCTCACACACACACACACACACACACACACAACTGACTCTGATTTCCCTAAAGTCCCAGAGTTATGGCCTGATTGTTTCCTTTACTAATTTGTGGCTGATCCTGGAAGTCCCAGGGCTCTCCCGAGAGTCTGAAAGGGGAGGAGGCTCCTAGCTCCTTGAAAGCCACATTAACTGGGCTCCATTTGGAACAGAAAAGGGCTTCCCTGGGAAGAACCTGGCTGTAGGGAGGGCAGTAGGGTCCCGTGGTAACCTGAGGAATGCTGCCCCAACCTGGCCACGCCCTCCTGCCTCTGCTGTCCCTACTCCTGACCTGTGACGCTGTCCCGAGGTGGGGGGTGGTTGTGGCAGAGACAGCCAGATTTAGAAGTAATTTTCGCAGCAGGGAGCCTCCAGCCTGCCACCCACAGGGCCCTTGGAGCCAGTCTGAGATATGGCTCATCAAGGGCTGCCCCCAGACCTGCAGTCGCTCCTCCCCTTCTCCCCAGATCTTTAGCAGCTGGTGCTGACTCCATTCTTAGGCAGAGTTGGAGGAAGTCCTGGGGTGGGAGCACGTGACTTTGACACCCTAACCACCCAGTGCTCCTAGTATACCATTCAGCCTTTCAAGCAGCTTGTCGCCACCCCAGGAATCCCCTCTCCTCTGGATCTGGCCTCTGCTGCCTCTTCCCCCTCTTCCCTATCCTCATGCTCCCATACCCCCAACACTAATGAAATAGCCCTAGAGAGAAATAATAATCAGAACTCAACACTTATATATCACTTACTAGGTACCAGGCATTGTTCTCAGCGTTTCACATATTGAATCATTTAATCCTCCCAACAAGACTATGAAAGGAATACTATTAATAATCCAGCTTTATAACTGACACCAAGACACAAAGATGTTGAGTAACTTGCCAAGGTCACACAGCTAGTATGAGATAGAGGCAAGATTCAAACCCAGGCCACATAGTCCATGTCCTACATACAAGACTACCCGAGTTTTCTGACAATGGTAGAGAGAAGTAGAGGTAGGGGAAGAGGAGGAAGAGGCAGCAGAGGCCAGATCCAGTATGGGTAAACTCTTAAAAACTGGCCTCCTGGGTGTTCAGCCTCTAAGAGGCGCAGGCTGTGAGGTGGAGCACACCTTCACAGTGCCAGCCCCTCCCATACAGCTCACTCTTCTACCAGCCTCAGAGCCCTGCCTCCTTGGGCTGTAGCACAATCCAGGCAGATACGGTCACCACTGCCCTGGCCTTCCTCTGTCTTCCTCCTAGCCTGAAGTTCACTCTTTTCTCAAGCCCAGAGGTCAAAGGCACACACTCCTCAGCGGGACCAGGCTCATCCCAACCTGGCCTCAGTTTTCCTTCCTTCCTTCATCTTCCACAACTCCCCCAAATGTACCCTCAACTTCAGTCAGACCAGACCATTTCTCCCACATCCACACTTCTTCTTTTTGCTGTTCTCTCTACCTAAAACCCCTTTCCCCAAATTCAGTCTTTTTTTTGTACTTGACACCCACTGTTTAATTTTATTGTTACTTGTGTGTTTTCACCTTCACCCTTTGTCAAGCAGGCCTTACTCCTCTTTCCTGGAGTCCTGCCCGATTCCTGGTTCCTCTCAAGTGCTCAGTAAATGCTCAATGGTTAGAACCTGCAGCAGATATAATTGTAGGTGGAAGGGAGCCAGACCTCAGGAACCTTTGATCTCTGCTCAAGGTGACCCCCACTTCCTTTACTTCCTCTACCAGGAGCTAACTGGAAACCTGGCAGTGTGGGTTTCAGGCAGGTTCTGGGTTAGACCTTCCCTGGGCGACTCTGACCAACATTCTCCCCTCAGGTTCAGAAGCCCAAAGAGGACCTCCCTCCCGCTCCAACAAACCAAGGCCAGGCAGCCAGCTTAGGGCCCCAGCCCCGTCCGCATCCTGCAGTCTCTCCAGGTGCGCGTGGAGAGTGATGTGGAGATAATTGGAGACAAAACCGTAAGTGGTTTGAGAGCGGGATTGGTGATCTGAACGCTGAGCCAGAGTTGGAGTTGGCGGGACTTAGGGTGGGGGGTGAGCAGAGGCGGAGTGGAGGGCAGGGCCGGGCAGGACTCTGAGACTGAGTCTGGGCGAAGCCCCCGCGCCCGGCGAGTCGGCGGCTAAATTTACCCAGGCTGACTCAGCCCTTGCCCGGAATGGGGGGTGGGGGGAGTGCGCGGGGCAGTGGGAAGAGCCAGCGGGGGTGAGGGGCAAGGAAGGGAGAGTCCGCACTGGGGGAGACAGGAGTGGGCCGGGAGTTTCCATCAAAGAAAGGAGTCCCCCCCCCACTCCCCCTTCCCGCCCCCTAAGCGAGAAGGAGCGGAAGAGCCCTGTGGGTGGAACGCAGTGGGGACAGGGTAGGTGAAAGGAAGAAAAGGCCAAGGTTGGACAAAGGGAAGCTTAGATTTATTGAGCGCCTACCGTGTGCCTGGCACTGTGCAAGGCGCTTTACATACATTATCGCATTAAATCCTCACAACAACCCTGCGAGGTAGGTGTTTATATACCCCCATGTGACAGATGAGGAAAGTGAGGCTCGGGGAGGTGAAGTGATTTGGCCGAGTCCACATGGCTGGTAAATAGAGAGGAGGTGTCCAAGGTAAGAGAGCAAAAAAGACCTCAGAGTCTGGGTCCCAAGCCAGATAAATACCAAGAGGGGCTCATTCAGAGGCCTGCTCCCGACCCCGCACACCTGGAGGCGGCAAGGCTGGGGACCCCGCGCTTTAACTGGGGATCAATTGATTAACTGGCCTGTGGGAGTAGGAAGGACTCGCGGACTAGCTACGGGGAAAATCCGCGACCTGCGCGCGCCCCATAGTGGCTACAGCGAGGATCACACCTATACCCACAGGCTTTTGGGGACCGCCTCCCTCTTCCTTCTGTAGCAGTTTCTGGAAGAGGCAGAGATGCAAGAAATTCTCAGGATTCTTTCAGACGAACGATACCACCTGGGTGGGAAGTCATGGCAACGATTCAGAGCATCACTAAGAAACACTGCGGAGGAGGAAAGAGGAAGGTCTGAAGAGGTCCCACGCGGATTCATTGTCTGCCTTCCCTCTCCTGCTTGGACCACCACAGGCCAGGGACAGTGACAAGGCCACCATCCTGCCCTGCCTTGGGTAACCCTCACCTAAACCTGAAAGACTGGGATAGGAGCCCTTGCCCATTTACTCAGCTCTTCAGCAAACCCTGGACAGTCTCTAGAATTGAGAATGAGTGCAGTTGACCATGAAGCCACCCAGAAACCCTCAGACTCTATTCATCTATTCCTAACTCTTTCTTGGCTTGTGAAAGGGAAGGATGAGATAAAAGCTTCCCCAAAGGCTCCAAAACGACATGGATGGACCTTAGAATCCCTTCGTTTTACATATTAGGAGGCCTGGAGAAGGAAAGCGACTTGCCTAAGGTGCCCCAGGAAGCGAGTGTCAGAGTTAGGACGGGAACCCAAGACTTCTGACATCAAAGTGAGCCCTCTCCCTGCTTTGCTGGCTGCTTCTGGACTCCTTCCTCTTCTGCCAAGGGCTTCTCTGTCACCTGTTCACTTCAGTCCAAAGCCTCTCCATCACTTTCTCCCTCCTGCCCAGAGGCCCTTCCCTGAAGTTGCCCTCCCATGACTATACCATTCCTACCCGCCTGCCTACTCTTGGGCAGGCTTCTCTGCTCAACTCTACACCCAGGGCAGCAGCTACCTCTGCTGAAGCCCTTACCAGAGTGACCTGAAAGGAGCAGGCATTAAAGTCTACAGTTCACCTGACCCCTCCTGATTTTTTTTTTTTTTTAAATACAGCCCTAGCCAGTTTGGCTCAGTGGATAGAGTGTCGGCCTGAGGAAGGAAGGTCCCGGGTTTGAGTCTGGTCAAGGGCACGTACCTCGGTTGCAGGCTCCTCTCTGGCCCAGGCCCTGGTCCAGCCACGTGCAGGAGGCAACCAATCAATGTGTTTCTCTCACAGATATTTCTCTCTGTCTTTCCCTCTCTCTTCCACTCTTTCTAAAAATCAATGGGAAAATATCCTAGGGTGAGGATTTTTTTAAAATTACAAATCAGCATATGTTCCCTTTCCTTTCATTCGGGCGGCTTCTTTTTGGGTTATGGGAACCGGTGTAGGTGAGGGGTACAAGGAAGCCTGTGAGGAAGTAAGGGGGCCAGTGGGCCCAAGGATGGATGGGTTGGGAAGCACAAATACAACAGAGAGCCTCTCACTGCCGCTCCCTACTTCTCCGTGGGGCCCCCGTCGTGTTCCTCTCTCCAGAAAGGGCCTCCCCGGTTTGGCTGATGACATCCAGAATCTCTCGGATACTGTCGTGCCGCTGTGTGGTCTTCCCGCCCTCTCGGCACCCGGCTCGCTCACTCCGCCAGGGGGCGCCGGAGGCTTCCGTGTCGCTTCCATCAGAGGAGCTGCTCTGGGCGCTGAGCTCCGCAGCTTCATCCGAGTCCGAGTCAGGGGCGGTGTGGCGGCGGATGCGGGACAC